CCCGTTTGCAGAGCAGCTGCAAGGCTTGATAGAGAAAGCAAAATCTTTCCTTCCCAGTGCTCCTGCAGTTGTCGACGTTCCACCTGCTCAGCCTTCCACAACTCCCCGAGTCGTGCCAAAGCGGAAGAAGACCGTGGCTTCGTTAAACATGACCAACTGGGAATCACTACTCGCGCCTGTTTCTGCTGACGCGCCAGCAGAAGCACGGGAATGGCTGGTTTATATCACTGGAGGCAATAAAACATGCTTTGGACGTTGTGGACGCGTCGATGAAGAATGGAATGTAAGTTCACCCCTTTTTCGAATCAAACAAACTGGTTTTCGTTTTGCGTACTGAAAGGTTGGCATTGGTGGTCAGAAATCGATTCCTATGTTTGCTGCGGACCTTAGCTCCCCTTCTCTTGGTGTTCTTGACTGTGAGAAGGACAGGGTCCTTTGTTCTATCTGGTCCGCCAACCCTCCATCTATCTGGCATTTCCAGATCCCCACCGCTCCCGAAGCTGGTCAACCCAAACCGGCCACGTCAATTCACGACCTGTATGTCAATAGCACTACGGTAACCGCGGAAGATATCTACAAAATCCACTCTGAGAAGCGTTGGGAAAAAGTATCCGAGCACAACGGTTATTTCCATCCAATGGATGGATTCCTTGCGCAGTACGGGCTTAATGTACCGATTGGCTACCTCGCCTTCGGTCTCAGTCAAATTCCAAGCTGGCTTATGATGCTTGGTGTTAGCTTCCTCAGCCGATCAATGATGTAAGCTCATGAGTTGGCCGTGTGGTTTCATCTCTTTACTGACGAATACCCCAAATGTAGGAGCCGCCGTATTAATGCCCAGCAGCGGAGACCAGCCGCTGGTGCCACTGCACCTCAAGCGGCCGGAACGCAGTAAGCCCAAAGAGAGTCCTCCTTGGGCTACGAGTTTTTTACTGGCTTTTTCAACGTTTGCTATTTGTGACTGTAGATAATGAGGGTTTGGATGAAAGCCATTTCATATCAATGATTAATAGGATGGGACTAGATTTAACCATGTGATTTCTTGTATGTATTTGTTAGTTTTTAATGGAGTCTAATTGCCTGTGATCAATTCATCGTCTGTTTTGGGGCATTGAATCAAGTCGGTTCCTTATAAGTACTACGGCTGTCTGTTCTCCACATCACACATAGCTTGGTCGACCTCCACAAAGTCGCACCTTTGAAACAGAAGCTGTCAAAAGGGTTTCTTTCTCTGGTTCTATGATTTCATTTATCCCGAGCTTGACATCCGTCACCCGACACCAACCTTACCCTTGAAGCTTAACCTTACCTGCACACGCGAACAATCCAAACACCAATAACTGCAGAGTCCGTACCTAAATCCCTTTTTCCTCCACATCGCGATGGTTTCCCCGTCCACGTCGCCAATGGAGCGGCCTCCACCGACCACCGCCGCCATTGTGATCGCCACGGCGATTTTGGCCGGGATCACGGGATACTTCCTAGGCCAGGGAGCCTCGATAGGGCTTTTCGGGTCTGCAGCGGTTTCGCCGCGCCGCGTCGGCGTCGAGAAGGGGGATATCTCCGAGGAAGAAGACCAAGAGGAGGAGAGCGCGGAAGAGAGCGAAGATGAGGGAGGTGAACTTGCGACGTTTGAAGGGAATACGGAGGAGGTGAAGCTTGTCTTGGTGGTGCGGACGGATTTGGGTATGGGGAAAGGTGTGAAATTCTTTTCTTCTTTCTTTTTCATATTTTGTGCGCTCATTATTCCATTTCTTTCCCTTCCCTTCCCTTTGGACTTTTCAGATCACCATGCTAATGAGGCGCTTTCCGCTTTATATAGGCAAAATCGCCGCCCAATGCTCCCATGCCACACTCGCCTGCTACAAGCACTACTTTTCCAAGTCGCCAAACTCACCTATCCTCAAGCGCTGGGAGAGAGGTGGCCAGGCCAAGGTTGCACTTCAGGTCAAAGGCGAGGAAGACATGCTACTGCTACAGGCTCAGGCGCTTAGCCTGGGATTGTGTGCGCGGGTAATACAGGACGCTGGACGGACGCAGATTGCCAGTGGCAGTCGGACCGTCTTGGGAGTCTTGGGTCCAAAGAGCGTAGTTGACAGTGTGACCGGGCATTTGAAATTACTGTAATGCTGTCTTTACTTTTGCAACGTTTGGCGGGGGGCGTTTGAGGTAGGATATACACATTGCGAAGAAATTTTCTGGGCTAGGGAAATGGTCTAAGTAACGACTCCGGACGGAGTACGAAATGCTGGTTATATTAAGTAAAATAGAGATTTTGGCCTCTTCGCGAGACCTAAAACTCCATGCAATATAAACGGTTGTTTTCCAGAATCATCGATCGCCTGTAAAAATCATAATACGACGTCAAGGATGTTGGCTGCCATGGTTAGTCCCTAACCTCATCAGCCGACGGCCTGGCCCCAAGAAGGGGCACATCGGTAAAGGGAGACGGAATATGGCGTCTTCAGCAACCAGGCCATCTCACCGAGCTCACCTGACGGAAGCTCAAGGCAGAGTGAACTCCTGGTCACTGTATCTCGCTCTGAGATCTGTCGACCGGAAATTGACATCATAAGAAAGTGATGGCTCCATAGGTCGTCGAACTGTCCAGAATCAACCGAAACACAGCTACTAGCCATCACGAAGGACGACCAGCAGCTGGAACAGGACTACTGGACACAGATCTGTGGTTTGTGTTGAGGAAAAGAAGAAGTGAAAACACGAGGAAATTTTTTTTTTTATGATGGCAGCAGGAGCCGGTGACGGGGAAACTTTGACCCGCTGACATAAGCGCCAGCCCAATACTAGCTTATGCTGAATCCAGACTCTTGCCTCATTCATTGCGCTTGTCTGTACCGCGTTGCCCTCACTTTCACTGCCTAACAAGAGTCTCGAGTTCCTGTGGCGTTTTCTAGGATGGCGGACGCATTATCCATCGAGCAGAATAATAAAATTCGAGTTGCTCTCGGCCTAAAACCTCTCCCTGTCCCTGGCTCCTCGGCGGCAGACGAAGGCCCTGTTTTCAAGCAGTCAAAAGACGGTGATGAGTCGAGCTCGGCCGAAGATGAACCTGGAAGTACCCTGGAATCTCGAATTGCGCAAGGATATGAGAACTGGAAAACTCTACAGGATGAGGAGGAAGCAAAGAAGAAGCGTCAAGCTAGAAATGACAACATTAGGCGGGCGCGCGAGGCTGCGCAGAGGATAGCAAAATTGGAAGGTAAAGGTCTGGGCGAGGTCAACGATGATTTGGATACGAAATCGTGGCTGATGCAGCATAAGAAGAAGCAAAAGAAGATTGAGAAGGAGCGGGCACGGAAGCTAGCAGAAGAACTTGCCGAGCGAGAGCAGATGGCGGAATATACGTCGAAGGACCTGGCTGGCGTACAAGTGGCACATGAAATCTCCCAGTTTGACGAAGCGGGGGACCATATTCTTACGCTGAAGGACACGACGATTGATGAGAACGAGGAGGAGGGCGATCAGTTAGAAGATGTGACCATGAGGGAGGCGGAGAAGACGGAGGAAAGGCTTGAATTGAAAAAGAAAAGGGCTGCTTACGACCCTACTAATTACGATGCCTCCGGCTCGATCTTAGCCCAGTATGACGAAGAGATTGACGGCAAAAAACGGAGGCACTTTACCCTGGATGCCAAAGATATCAGTCCGGAAGAACGAGAAGCAAAGCGGCAGGATGTCTCGTCGAAGCTAAAAGTTAGTACCGTCAGTCTCGATGTCGTGCAAGAGGCCACACCTTCCGATTACCTTGATATTTCTGAGATCAAAGTGAAGAAGCCTAAGAAGAAGAAAGCGAGAAGTACTAGAAAAAGGGCCATTGATGAGGATGATATATTTCCCCTGCCTGACACTACTGAGACTCCCACAGGCAATCAATCTAACGGGGACCAAATGGAAGTTGATGGCACGGATGCGAATAATAGCTCAGTCTCTGCCCTTCGAAAACGGCCCCATGATGATTCTTCATTTGTCGACGATGAGGATCTACAGGTGTCGCTAGCAGCACAGAGAAGGGCTGCATTCAAAAAGCGTAAAAGGATGCGACCGGAAGATATAGCCAGACAGCTAAGAGAAGAGTCGGAGGAGGCTGCCAATGGCATGGACGTGGATCAAAATGAAGATGAGCAGCCTGGGTTGGTCATTGACGAAACTTCCGAGTTCGTTGCGACCTTGCAGCGGCCAACCATCCCTGAACGCCGCCTGAGATCCGTAAGCGCAGTAGCGGAGGAACAGGACGGTGTCAAGTCGCCAACTCCGGACGTGAAAGAAGAAGTGGCAGACGTAGATATGGACCGGGCATATAACGATATTGAGGATGAAGAAGAATTGAAGGAACGAATTACGCGGGAACAATCACAGGCCGATATTACTGCGACAGGGCTGGAGGAGGAAAACACCCTGGATCAAGGTCTTGGAGCCACACTTGCAATGTTGAGGCAGCGTGGCCTCGTCAAAGAATCGAATGGTGGCGAGCTCAACTCCCTGCAGCGAGACCGCCAGAAATTCTTGATAGAAAAACGACGACGGGAAACCGAGGCCGAGAGACGCGCACGGTCTCAGCGCGAACGAGACCGCGCCTCTGGCAAACTCGACCGTATGTCTGCGCGAGACCGGGAGGAGTATGCCCGGTGGGAGAACAAGCAACGTGATCAGCAGGAATCTCGCACAATGGCGGATATTTTCAACCGCGAATACAAGCCAGATGTGCAATTGAAGTATGTGGATGAACATGGCCGTCTGATGAATCAGAAGGAAGCATTCAAGCATCTCAGTCACCAGTTCCACGGCAAGGGCAGCGGAAAGATGAAGACGGAGAAGCATTTGAGAAAGATCGAGGACGAGAAGAAACGGGAGGCCATGAGCACGCTGGATAGCAGCCAGCATACGGGAATGAATAACGCCATGGGAGCGACGGCGCGGCGCACAAGGCAGGCCGGCGTCAGACTTGCTTGAACGGGGTTCCCTTGCATTGTACAGAGTAGTATACACGCGATAGACGCATTGACGCCTTGGTAGGAGCGAGGCCCAAGATAGCCCTAGAGTTATGTGTTGATATGCTGTAACTATTTAGCTTGCAATCATTATTTATAACTTCTTTCCTGACACCAAGCTCCTTGTTGTGCCGACGCTTCTGTTGTTCCTCGGCATGTGTGCTCTCTTGCCAGCAGTCCAGCTCGTCTTCGGCGCCGTGGGTCATCTCCACAGTCGCCAAGCGACAGGCAGTTTGACTCCTCTGGCCTCCCGCTAGCGTTGTCTTGCAGCGAGGCGCCAGCAAGGGAGTTGAATCCCCGTCCGCCTGTGCATGCTGGCCGGCTGTTCTGGCGACTGAGAAGCGGCGCTGCAGCAACAAAGAGATTAGGCGCGCCACAGACCGCCGAGCGCAAACTCACTCGCTAGCAAGCAGTTGGCGGATCCCTGAAAGTCGCTCACTCACCTCGCATCCTCCACAAAATTTTTGTTCAGGACACCTTGAGATAACTATCCACGAACAGCCATAGCTCGTCCTGCCCGCCCCTTCAATTGCACTTTTTTTCCACGCCCGTAATTGTTTCTTTGCATCTCATATCGATCATTACGTGTAAACAATGCTTTCGACTCTGAGAGTTGCCAGCCGTTCGGCTGCCGCGAAGGAAGCTGGAGTCCGCGCTCTCGCGTTCCGACAAGCTTCCACCTGGTCCAATGTGCCCCAGGGTCCTCCGGTATGCTCGTGTGCGAGATGGCAGAGCTCAGTTCAAACAGACTCGCTGACAGTTGAGCTTTGAAGGACGCTATTCTGAGAGATTACTGAAGCTTTCAAAGCGGACACCAACAAGGAGAAGATTAACCTCGGTGTTGGAGCCTACCGTATGTCCCTGGATGCCATCGCTGTCCTGAGTCGATCTTTTTACAACTGCTGACGTTTTTTTTCACTGCAGGCGACGACCAAGGAAAACCCTACGTTCTCCCGTCCGTCAAAGTCGCCGAGACCAAGGTTGTCAACTCCAGTCTGGACAAGGAATATGCGGGCATCACAGGTGTTCCGGCTTTCACCAAGGCTGCTGCTGAGCTCGCTTATGGAGCCGACAGCTCTGCTATCAAGGATGGCCGCGTTGCCATTACACAATCCATCTCAGGAACCGGCGCCCTGAGAATCGGCGGTGCCTTTTTAGAACGATTCTATCCTCATGGGAAGACCATCTACATCCCCACCCCCAGCTGGGCCAACCATGCTGCCGTGTTCAAGGACTCTGGGCTCAAGGTCGAGAAATACAGATATTATAACAAAGATAAGATTGGACTCGACTTTGAGGGTTTAATCGCCGATCTCAAGCAGATTCCTAACCAGAGCGTTGTGTTGTTTCACGCATGTGCTCACAACCCTACCGGAGTTGACCCTACCCAGGAGCAGTGGATTGAGATCTCCAAGGTCATGAAGGAGAAGAGTCATTTTGCATTCTTCGATATGGCCTATCAAGGGTTTGCCAGCGGAGATATCAAACGTGACGCTTTTGCCCTGCGACACTTTGTGAGCCAGGGACAGCCTGTCGTCCTGGCCCAAAGTTTCGCAAAGAACATGGGTAGGCTCTCAACGCGAGTCTTTTGTAGTATTTTGTCGTTTGTCTAACGGGGCCTCTTGCATTAGGGTCTGTACGGCGAACGCGTTGGAGCTTTCTCCGTTGTCTGCGAGTCCGCA